CCGCCATGCCCGCTGCCGCCCCGCCCGTCCCCCCCCCCGCCACGGCCGGCGGCGGGGGAAGGCGCCTCACGACGCAGGCGCCACCTGCGGCGCCGGGGCCACCGCGCATGCGCCGCACGGCCTCCCACCTTCCCGGGCTGGCGTGGCACCGCCGTGCGCGTGAACCGGCGCTCGCCCGCGGCGGGCGGGAGGGGATAGGGGCGCGCATGCGCCCTGGCGTGGGCGGGAGGGTGAAGGTTGCGGGTGGGCTTCGATCAGTGTATTAATGCCGTACGCTTGTTTGTGAGGTAAAGAAACCAGGATCCGTCAATAAAAACACTTAATGAGCATTTCCCTAAGTGCGTGTGTATTGTGGACCCTCCTTGAAGGCCTCTCTGTACCAGACAAGGCTGGTAAGACCCACTCTGGAAACCCCCGTACTTCAGGTTGCCTAGATATATTAGGGTATAGACCGTTATGAAATGTACATTTTGGTGTATATACGTACAGCGTAATGCTTGCAGACTGATCGTAAAAGATAGTGCCTACTGCTGTACTCATATGTTTGAGTTATGGCCTAGCCCTGGTGATACTGCTCAGTTTAGGGTTAAATATGGTGCCTTGTCTTTCCAGGAGGACCATTACTCAATAGTTTCACTATGTAGGCCTGGTTACTTTGAATAAATGATGCATGCTTTGCTAATACTATGTCCTTGAAGAAGGAACTCGAGACCGATGAAAAGGAAACATCCTGCTCCAGAAGGCACCCAAAGCCGGATGATTGCCAAAGCATGAACTAGGGGAAAGATAAAGGTGGCAGGGGGAGATCATGACCTCCAACTCAGCTCAAGACTAGAAAGACTTAACCCACACACCTGCAAGGAGCGTGCTTGCTCATTTTCATAACAAGCGAGGCTAATTTAAATGTAGCTAATAGTAGATGAGATGGTGACTACCAACCAATGAATGTAAACTTAGGTGGGTTTTAACTAATCATGTAACAGAATAAATACATTGTAGTTCTTTGGTGTGGCGTGCTAGCTTTGTGGAATTATCACCTAGCACCCATCTTTGCGCAAACATGAAATAAATACATATCCCAGCTCTGTGTATATGATTGGCTTATTGCACATTGGGTAACGAACCCCGCTTGTGGGACAACACCGCCGTGCTTTGCTTACGTTGTCTTGATGTGCACCACTACAAAACCCACCACACTTTGTGATGACATTAGCAAACTTAGTGAAAAAAATCATAAAACCACATGGGCTGCTACAATGAGCTAATGCTTCCTGCAATTGAAGTCATGTCTAAGTCAAATACTGGGAAAACTGGGAAACCCTTAAACTTCAGCAATTTCTGTTTTGCAGTTAAACAAAAAAATTGTCTATGTCCAAGGCTGGTGATAAATTTTTCAAACAGGGTCATAAAAAATGCAAAAGGTATTATATACATGCAGTAAACAGACTACGCTCCTAATTTCACTGCCATCTGAAAGATTATTTTCCATAGCTCTTTTATGGGGAAACACATGGAATGGTTAGATTAAGCTCTACTAAGAAATACAAAATTGCTTGCACAACTGTCTATGACTATTTAAAAGACAAGCAGAAATGTCCCAAGATGAAGCAGCAAGTGAATATTTAAAACAAATGTATTTTTAAAAATGTTTATTGAAATGCCTTCATTGCATCATGCAGGATACAAAAATCATTATTAGAAAACCTTTATAACATACTTAGGAGTAAAATCAAGATACATCAGGGAAAAATAATAATTATATAAATCAAAGCAATTTATTTCTGATAGGGTTTTAAATCATTAGATTACAAGCTGTGATCTGCACAGATGATAACAATTATCTTGCAATAACAGTCCCTTTCATGATTCAAGTGGAAACTGATGTTCGTCATGCTAGAGCAACCGTATCACCTGTGTATACCACAAAAAATTCAACCCGTTCATTACAGATACAGCGTTTAAAAAGTATAACAAAAAATATTCTGCCAGCATACTTCTATTCTGCTTTCAGTTTTTTATTTGTTCCATCAAAAGCCGTTAACTTTTCATCAAGGAAAAAAAAAAAGGCTAATGTACTTTCTTCTATTACACAAACCACATAGCACATAAGTTTTGATTACTGAAATAGAACCTCTTTAAAGTCATATTATAAGAGACTTTCTTGAAGTTCAGTTCAATTAAATAATTTATGTTTTTGCAATATTAGTCAAGGACTTGGAAGTGATTTTAGAATGGAAGACCACTGCACCCTCAGTATTTTTGTTGTTTTAGGAATCTCAATCTCTGCTTCTTAAAATGTTCAGGGTTTTTTATTCATACACTGCTTAGTGTAAACTCTTGGAACTTGCCTCTCTCTTGTTATTCTATTTGACAGCATAATTCTGTGCAGATAATGCATTTTAAAAAAACTCTCCAGGGCTGAAAACTTGGCTCCAAAGAATTCAGATAGGTAGAGATTTTGATGCTGGCTTCAAGGGGACCAACGTTTGAGAGGTTTCAGTAGAGCATTCACTTGGCACAGAGTCAGGTTAGGACCATGCCAGGACCTTACTACATAAGAAAATTGCTGTAGGGTCTAGAATCGGCTCATTCTATTCAACAGGGAAGATTAAAAAAACCCCTTCTTATGAGGAAGTTAATACATGTGTTTCCGTTTCATATCCTTGTGGAAAAATGCATCTTTATAAAGCTATCCTCGTTTTTTTGTTGAGCTCCATAGATGCAGACTTTAAACAAACAGTTGGTGTCACTGAGTGTTTGAACACACAGAATATTGTAACAATTTAATTACATTGAAAGTCATGAAGAGTTTTGGCACTGTCCCCTTACAGAAAGTTAGGTGCAACTAACAATATGAAAACATTATGATAAGGGAATTGTATAACTAACTCTTTGGCTCTGTTGTAATACTCTAACTACTAAGGCAAGAACTGTGTGTACCTTAGGGTTGCTTTTTTGTTTATATTTTTGTAAAATACTTGACTAGAAGTTTTAAAAAGTCACCTAATCATCTATAAATGTCAAATGCTGCATATTAAAATATATGCTTATTACACCTTTTTTGTTCCATTACTAGAATTTTTGCATACTGATGAGAAAACACACATTTGTAAACTGTTCAGTATGAGTTTATGAAGACATTCTCCATATAAGAGAATTTGGAGAAAATTATCATTGAATCAAGATACTGTAATTAAAATTGCCTGATTATCCATTTTGGAGCACTATGACTCTCTCAACACCTTTAACTCTTTCATTCCTATAAAGATCAACTAAAACAAGTAACGACACCCCCCCGCTCCCCCTTTTCAATGCATTTGTAAACCCCTCTCATTCTGAGGTTTCTGGTGCACATCATAAGGAGGATATTTCAGAGTATTCACTGGCTTTTCAGATTTCACTACATATGGCTAACTTCATATGTTACGTTATTGCAGTATGCCCTATTGCCCCCTTTGATTATAACATGAAGTGGGTGTAGCCTTCTGCACCTGTAACAATAACATCCATCCATATCCTCATGGCTTCTGGCGAAGGAGCAACCATATAGTATATCCGATCATGTGTCTTAACACTGAAAGTGAGCAACGGGTTGGGACTCTAAAATAAAACAGAAAGAAGGATATCAAAAGAATGAAATCAAAGCCATTTATTGGTACTAGAAGTGAAATTACTTACAGGGAGATTTACAGTAGGGTTAAGGAGAAAGATAAAATGGTGTACCACTGCATCCTACATTGCAGCACTGGAAGCAGAGATGTGTTTAAAGTGTTTGTATCCACCATAAACGGTTCTTACAATGTATTTCCACTAGAATATTACACAGTAGTACAGGGCTCCAACTGTTGTTTCTTGCTCAGAGAACTAACTCCCCCACTCTGTCCAGTGGTCAAAACCACCTTGGCTTTCACAAACTCACGTGCCAAGGATATATTCAGTTTGTTCGCAGCTCATTTAAATTACAGGCAAGAGGCAGGGATGCCGTGAGCTGCCGGCGCGAGTTAACTCCCTCCCTGTGACAGATGCATAGAGCCCTTTCTTGATTTGCCAAAGCCACTGATTTCAGTGGTCTCACCACTGGACTAATGAATTCCTCGCAGCAAATCCCACTTGGCAGGCAGACACTCTTCTCTCTGCTTTCATCAGTATAAAAAAAAAGGGGGGGGGGGGGGGGCTACTCCCCGCTCTGGCTTC